AATGTATGACTAATAAAGAGTTTTGAATGTCACATACCTCTTGTAGAAAAGTCTTGAGCAAGCTAAAAAGCTGAGAAACCCAGAGACTTCCTTCCTTAGCAAAGAATTGAAGCTTGCTTCCTCTTGAAGCAACAAACCACTTTTCAAGACAGTTGGAGTTGTGTGATTTCCAGCTGGTTTTTTAGGATTTGGAGAGTTGAGATATGATGTATAGGAGGTGTTGGGGGTATTAGAATGGTAGGAAATGGTTCAAGTGAGAATTTGGCTTTCAAAATGCAAGAAAGTCAAACTACTAAGGTGTGAGGGTTGACTTTTGTGAAAATGAGATTTTTGAGTGGTTTGAATGTATGGACACCTTCTACACAATGTTTATGGATTGTGTAGATGATTTTGAGGGACTTGGAGATGATAGAACTGACCTTGAGCAGAGTTTTGCTCAAGACAGCTTTTTAGTGAAAAATGGAGGTTTTGAAAATTTGAGATTCTTGAAGAAGTGAAAGGGAATTGAGAGCTAATGTTTCTATGGGTTTTGGAGATTTCTCTGGTGTATCTAACATCAATGAAGAGGCCTCTACTTATAGTGAAAACAAGAGTGAGGGCAGCTTGGCATTTTGTCACTTTTGGAGGGAGATTTGTGAAGTTCTTTGAAAAATCTTGCCAAGATCTTCTCCTATCAGCTCCATGGTTCAAAGAAGATCAGAAAAATCAAGTGGAGATGGACATGAAGTGACTGAGGTGAGCTTAGAGTGTAGGGTGAGCCAGCTGCAACAGTTTGGAGTGAAAAGTTTCTCTCTCCTTCTTACACATTTGAATATTTTATTACACAAGTTGCAACTTGCCTCTCTCTCTTCAAATCTTACATTTTTCTGCATTTCCCTTCATCCGCACATCTAAACATCATATTGAATCATGATCCAAGGGTCAAGGATAGTTCAAAATTTGAAAATCTGAATTTTGAGAAGTGTCGGATTGTGGTTTCAAGTGTTGACAACCCTAACTTCCATGGTGCATAACTTCCTGCTCACACATGCTATTAAGGAGTTCTACCACAATTTGAAAAGCCCTTAAGTGGATCTATAACTTTCATGTTTTGGGGAAATTCTAGATGGAACTAGGTTGAAAAACCCTTCCAAGTTGCTGAAAAAATCACTTAAAAGTGCTAAATAACTTAGAATTTTTCTAAGTTATTTCCCTTCTTAAAATGAATCTTGTCATAACTACAATTCTATGCATTTTTTGATCATGGACCACTTTGAGGCTTTTTTAGTATTTGTCAAGAGCTTTCTAATGAGCTTTGAACCACTTCATTTGGATGTGTGGTTGAGGAGTTATGGTCTTGCCCCTTTTGAAACCCTAATTCCCGATTTTTGCAATTACTTCTTAACCCTTGATCCAATGGTCATGAAATTTTATGGGGAGGTGTAATATGACATAAGGAACATTTTTTATTCCCATCTTGAAGTCAAATTCTTTATTGTTGAAGAGTTGACTTTTCAGTCAACCATTCGATCAATCGGTGACTAACGAGTCGACTGTCGATGATCCAGACATTCAGAGGACTTGAAACTCTTTGGATGGACTTTAATAAGCCATAGGAGCTTAATGGACCTTGATCCCACCATTGAAACACTCTTTAAACCAAAAGTCAAACTACAGTTGACTTAAAAATTGAGTTTAATTTGGGATCGTAAAATTTGTAGCCATTTGATCTTTCAGAATAACAAATAAAGTAGTTGCTCACTGTTCAGGAGTCCAATTTCTATTCATCTGGCCTATAAGGAATTTCCTCAGCTGGACACCATACATGAAAATGTTTAAAATTAGGCTTTCTCCCAGTCCAAAGCTCATAAGGTGTTTTGGAAACTACCTTGATTGACACTCTATTTAGAATTTAAGTTGTGGTCTTTAGTGTCTCTCCCTAAAGTAACTTTGGCAAGGTAGAATGAAAAGTCATATTCCTTACCATATCCTTGAGCCTTGTGAACTAAGACTCTATCTGACAAATTGATTTGACAATGCAACTTGCTTTCTGCAGTACGGATAACTTCAACTTTATCACTAACTTTGAATGATCACCATAATCCAATTTACATTCACCAAGTGTAGAGACAATAATGTTGCTTCTTCTGATGCTGAGACCTTCAACTTCGGAGTCTACATCATACATCACTTATAGAGTGTTCTTTAGATTCTGCACCACCAGAAGCTAGCAATTCAACTTCTCTCAAGTGTGCCTTTGTATACCAGATACTGAATACACACACACACGCACACAAGTATTAGAACCTGCATACATGAAACACACATTAAACATAACCATTGTTTTTTTTAATAATTTGTTATCATCAAAACCCAAGGAATATATGTCATGAACAAATCTTGCTCTAACATGATTGTCATCTCCACGAGTAGAGAATTGAAGGAAGAATTCTCCTAATATCATATTTCTATCAAAGCAAAGATTAATGAAATGTCTAGCATGGTGAGCAAACAACCCAACAACGACATTGGACCAATATTACTGACATACTAACAACCTCCTCAAGTATCTCCACCACATAGAATTTCATCAGCGTCAGTCCATGAGTGAGAACCTTCAATGTCAGGCAATCCTGAAAAATTAAATTATAAAATAATAGTTATTTTATTCAACACACAATACATATAGTATAATAATACTTAAATAATTATATAATTACATATACCATTCCTTGCCATAGACACAATGTTACATGCCCATTGTACGCACAAACATGTCAGGTGGTCCTGCAGAATCCTAACTTCCACCTACTCTTACTACTACAGAAAATTCATTTAACAACGGTTGGAAAACTTATTTAATCACGGGGGCCAATGCGTTGTTATGGAAAGTGTCGTTGTATATATGATACTTACAATCACGACCTAGTAACCGTTGTAATGAACTGGAAAATAAGCTACCTATAATCACAGTTATTTTAAATACACGTTGTTGTATGTCTTTTAATAAAATAAAATAAAAATGCAGCATTAGAACTACCTATAATCACAGTTATTTTAAATACTTGTTGTAGTATGTCTTTTAATAAAATTAAAAAAGTTGTAGCATTAGAACAAGAGCAACAACAAGAACACTAAGAACAACAACAAGAGCAACAATAAAAACAAGAACAAGAACAACAAAAACAAGAACAAGAACAACAACAACAACAATAATCTATAACTATATATAAAGGGGATATACAAGTTTTTGGTGTGACTTATTTTTCTACCATTTTTACCCTTACTTTATTATGTAATTTACTTAATAACTTCTTATTATTAACTTCCATGTAACTTCTTATTATTAACTTCTACATATTGTATTTTAAAAAAATTCTATTTAAACAAAAAATATCGTTTATATTTTCATTCATGCGCATTTAAAAAATATTGCGTGTCCGTCTGGACGATAATAATAATAATAATAATAATAATAATAATAATAATAATAATAATAATAATAATAATAATAATAATAATAATAATAATAATAATAATAATAATAATAAGAAGAAGAAGAAGAAGAACAACAACAACAACAAAACAACAAGAAAAACAACATTAATAACAACAAGAACAACAATAATAATAAAAGAGCACCAACAACTAACATTGATAACTCAAATCCATATTTTCCTTGTCTCATTCAAGTTGTAGAAGAGATGATGGAGTTATGAAATTTGTTAATAAAAAAAATGATATTTTCGAATTTTGTTTATGAAAGAAATGTTGTTTTCGAGTTTGGTTTAGTGGAGAAATAGAGTATCATAAATGAAAGATGGTGTTTGGAGGTAGAAAATGTAGTTTGTCTAAGTTGAAAGTTCGTCTAAGTTTTAGGTTTCACGCGGATCACTAATACTAGTGTCTTGACCGTTGATATTCACTAAATGGATGACCAAGATTTGCTTAAGAATAATAAATAAACTCAATAATCGCGTTACCTATAATGTTGGTGTTAGGACTTCAAAAAATAAGTAAAAAACCAAAAATGTTGGTGTTGGAACTTAAACCCATGATTAAAAGTATTTTAACCGTAATTAAAAGTATTTTAATAAAATAAAAAAAATACACGCTTCTAAATATCACATATTGCTACGGTGAATAGAAAACCATTATTACTTTGACGTTGTTGTTTACACGTTTTGTAGTAGTGTCTTCATCGACACCTTCCTAATACCCGTGATTGTGCTGGTGCACATACTAAGACATGTAATCTAAATATTCTTTATCGTGACAATCATGTACTTCTTGTTCTTCATCCAAATCCTCCATCTTTGCTCATGCGAGTCCCTGTTCATAATAGAGAGTATGTGATCTACAAATGGCCTCCATCCTCCTATGATGAGGTATAGACAAAGGAGGAGTGCCTGAAAAAAAGTGTTTTAAATTACTTTGAACTAATAAAACTATGACCCATTGAAACTATATGGTGGGCAATATTTACATGGCAACCTCAATACAACTCTCCCCTCCTGTTCTTATTCATTGAAAACATAAATGTCCAAAAACATCATCTTTACTTTAAAACAAACATTTGAAATAAACAAAATCTCTACAAATTAAGAACAAAAAGTAATGTCCAAAAGCATTTAGACAAAGTTAGTTGCGAACTAGTAACTACCTCTTTCTATTCCCCTTGGTTTCATAAAGTCCTATGTGTAGTATTTGCCTTCTTAGTTTGGTCAATGCATGACATACATATTGATGCATTATATTGACTAATGAACTCTACTTCATTCATTGTAAGTGTCATCGTTTATTTATTTATCTATTAAAATCTGCTTACAATGTTTTCTACCAGATCGCAACTGATTTTACTCCGCCAGTTTTTTGCTAAAGACAAATGATCCGGCCAGCTTAAAGGTTTTTTACCAATATTTGTAATGTATTATTTTTCTAAAACATTCTTCAGAATATTCAAAACGCAAAAGCCTATATATAGATAGATTAACCCCTTGCTCAATGCGTCATTCACAACAATGACTACAATGGCCAACTCCAAACCACAATTCCTTGCAACACAAACCATCTTCTCTCTTTTCCTTTTAACTTTTCTCTTGTTAATCACCAATGTCAACTCAGAATCATTTTCTTTCAGCTTCCCCAAGTTTGACAACGCTTCCGATACCATAGCCCTCGGCGGTGATGCCAAAATTATTGGTGCAGTACTACAGCTTACCAAAAAGGACCAACTCGGAAAACCTTCTCCACATACTTTTGGCCTTTCTGCATTCTCTGAAGCTATTCGTCTCTCCGACAAAACAGGTGGTAAAGTTGCTGACTTTACCACCCAGTTTTCCTTTGTTGTGGATCCAAAAGGTTCACAACTTCATGGCGACGGTTTCACCTTCTTTATTGCATCAGTTGGTTATGAGTTTCCCGACAATTCATCATCGGAGGGTGGATTTCTAGGACTATTCGATAAAGAAACCGCCTTCAATACCTCAGAAAACTCTATCGTTGCTGTCGAGTTTGATAGTTTTACGAACGAATGGGATCCTCTCTTCCCTGAGAACTCGCCTCATATAGGAATCGACATCAACACAATTGAGTCTTCGATTGCTGTTCCATGGCCAATCGATAGACAACCTCAAGGGTCGATAGGAAAGGCACGGATCGGTTACAATTCTGCCTCAAAAGAGTTGAGTGTGTTTGTAAGTTATCCAAATAGTCCTGTTAAAGTGGATGTTCTTGTATCGTATCCGGTTGATTTGGCGGCAGTTTTGTCTGACTGGGTCCTTGTGGGTTTCTCCGGTGCTACTGGTCAACTTGCAGAAACACATGACATTCTCTCTTGGTCTTTCAGTTCGAACATTTGAAGAAAGTAAGTTGAAGAACTATTACTATGCTTTTGTTGTTTCTGTAATGTTTATTTTTCCTTAATAAGGATGAACTTTAGTTGAAGTTATTAATATATGTTGCATAATATTTATGCATAGCTAACAAGATTTAGTTTTGGCATGTTTATGAAACTTGCTAATAAGATGTTCTCTTAAATCGTCATAAATTGGATTAACGAAGAATGAGAAAATGAACATATAATGTAATCCCAAAGAAGTAGTGGCAATACTTATATCATGCAAACCCCGACCCCGACATGCAAACCTTTTTGCCTTTCACCCATGGCTCTAATATCAAGACGGTCTCGTTTCTAGTGATAGACAGTTCTATATCTACTTGATAGGCATGCATCCAATCATCTTCAAGATATATGAAGTCAATATTTGTGACCTCTTCAGAGAAGAAGCTATGGTTGGAAGTAGAGAGAGTCATGATAGATCTAGTCAGACCGGAGAAAAAAAGACACTAAGTCTTCAATGTTTTTATCACTTGGCGATTTGATATATATCGTAATTACCATTAACCTCTATTTTAACAAACTTTCAATCTACCTCATACCTCATTTCGAACTCCTCAAACATTGAGTCTACATCGCACACCTCTTGCAATCGTCTCAAGGTTCTATGATCTTCCTAAGTGACTCACACTCTTGAATAAAAACTATGAGTAAAAAAGAAAAGACAAAAAAGAAAATGAAATCACAAAAAGAATAAGGTGTTACTTGAGTTTATGAGCTAAAATAGAAAGATCGGGATAAGATATGATAGGAATGGCAAGAAGCGCAAAGCAAAGTGAAGTTGAAAGTGATAGAATTAAGGAAGTGTGAACTAAAGTGGTATTGTCGTAACCCAAAATTTGACTTCCTCTCTTCATATTTTTGCATGAGCATGTGTATTCGCATTGCCGGCATACGCATTAGCATTGTCTCTATGTGGTTTTGTATGGACATTCAACATTTTACGGCGCTAAAGCAGCTTCTGTAACACCTCACTTCCCAAAATTAAAATAAAATACGATTATTTCAAGTAAACATCAGAGTTTCTCCACAAGAGCGGGATATCACATCAAATAATTCAACATAACCCGTCATTAGATGGTTTTCAAAATGAAACAGCGGAAGTAATCATTAATTCAACATTCTCGGCCATCCGCCAAATTACATAAAGTCATTCATTAACAAGGTTCACCAAAGTATGATACGTCACAGGAATAAAACAAATTCAGCATAGTAAAAGTAAACACCCAAATCACGTGCTATGTATCAGAGCATCCTAAGACTCGACCTACACACCACTATCCAAGCTAGCTATGTACCTGGATTGTCTGCACTTTCGAAGAAGCACAGACCACCACAACAACAAAGGGGTGAGAAACATGATAAAAATTATCGGTAATAAGATATATGATTAAAAGTAGTAATTACATAAAATATCATCCAACATGCATCAACCACGATCTACTGTCCAAACATCAAACACAACATGCAATAATGCAAATATGCGACTCAACACCATGCATGCGGTACCGACTCATTGGTTCATTCAATCGAACCCCGGATAGATCACATACACCCCTCCTTGGCAATGATCTATCCTCACCATTCTCCACGAGGGAGTACGGATGAATCGATACACTCCTCCTGAGCAACGATTCATCCCACCATTCTCCACAAGGGAGTACGGATGAATCGCATACACTCCTCCTCAGCAACGATTCATCCCACCATTCTCCACAATGGAGTACAGATGAATCACATACACTCTTCCTCAGCAATGATTCATCCCAGCAAAACACCATGATATGCACGACACCAAATGCACAACAAATAAACTCAAGCACACTAAGTGCACACGATCCTCCTGATCACATCACCATGCATTGTATATATTACACACCAATTAATTATGTTAATTAAATTAAATATTAGGGAAGTTCACATTTTAACACCAAGTATACACCCTTCACCATTAAACACCATCTTTATGCCTATCATGACCAAAGGGATCAATTTGCCAAAAGGCTACATTTCACATTTCACAATTCACAACTCTAGGATTCACGCCATACGGCTACCCACAACATATCATAATACAACACACAAGCTATACGTTATATATCGAAAACATCAACATTGGATGGAAACAACAAAAAAAATAAAACAAGTTGCTGTCATGTTCGCTGGCGCACTCGCCTAGCGAAGGCATAGCGATCATTCGTTACTGGCTCGCCTAGCGAACATGCTAGCGAAGCCTGCCTTTTTGCTACTGGAAGTGTTCGCTACCCAACTCGCTTAGAGAACCCTCGCCACCTCACTCGCTAGCTGCTCGCCTACCGAGTTCTGCGATACACCAAAACCCCATCTGTCCAAAAATCATTAGAAGCTCACAAATAACCGGTTTTCACCAAACCAGTTCTTGTAGTCTTAGCCTAACATTTTCCGACTAAACTACACGACTTATTTCAGATTCTAACCGTTAAAACATCAATTCTACCGATTAAATCATTTTCGACCTAAAATGGCAAACTACGCAAAACACCCAAACAATCCCTACACAATCACATGCATGGATAGAATCACAAAGTTTCACACCCTTACCTCGATTAAATCGATTCCTAAGGGATGATCTTGAAGAATCCAAGCTTTCCTTTATTTTCCTTCTCTTTTCTCTTCTTCCTCCTTCTTTCTCTTCCTTTCTCCCTCCTTTCTTTCCACTTTCTCTTATCTCCTTTTCTATTCTCCTCCTTCCATTATATTTTCTTTTCTTAATTTAATAATAATACAAATAATAATAATAATAATAATAATAACAACAATAGAATAACAATATTACTAGTATTATTAAATTATTATCATTATTAATTATATTATATTAATATTAAACTCTATAGTTTATTAAATGATCTCTATAATTAAGGGTACTCACCAACGCACTCAGACACACCTCCACATGAAGACACACCGAAATAAAATAACACCAAAAGACTAGATAATTAAAATGGGTGTTACAGCTTCTCCCCCACTATTTTGGTCTATTTAGTTCTAGTATCACGCGGAATATTCAGGACACTTCAAAAAACCACTTGCATTTGCTACAATACATCATTTTCAATCAAGACCACCATAAACCTACATTTCCAAGCATATGAACCCTTGAATTTTGAACTTGCATGAGATGCTCCCACCGAGTTAACAAATAACTACCTAAGTCAACTTCCAACTAGGTGAGTTAGATGTAACTAACTCTAAAGCAAAACCTTAGCTAGCTTCAAGCCTTGTTCCAAACCTATCTTACTCCAAAGCTAACTTCTATATAAAGAAACCTTCACATTTGTGAAGGGAACCTTAACAATTTTTCTCTCTTCACTCTCAATTCTCTCTCACTTTCACTATTCTCTCTCAATTCTCTCTGAATTTTCTGCAATGTATCTTTATCTTCTTCACCAAAACACACACAAAAGCTCAATTTCTACCATTAGAGTGTAACAATCTTCACCTTGAACTTGTTATTCTCTTGAGCTAAACTTCCATTCCACTACATTTCTACTTGGATTTCTGGATTTACAGTAGCTTCTACTTTAATTCAAGTAATCATCTCAAGTGTTTTGGTGCAAATTCATATTTGGATCATTTATCGTGTTTTTGTCGGTTTCGCTACGATTTGATCTCAAGCTTGAAATTCTATGATTTTATTTGCTTATTCTCACCAAATTTTATATGCAACAACTACCAAGGTAAACCTCCACTTTGTAGGTTGGTTATTCTTGCTCGATTTTACATTTCCGATCGTTTTCGCATTTTTCACGATGTAGCTTAATTGATGTTTTTATTGCTTGAATTCTTGATTTTGCATGATCAATTCTTTTACCTTTTATTTGATACGAATTAACATGTTTTATGCACCTTATTCAAGGCTTTGATCCACTGCAATTACATGAAATAAGTTGTTGAAAAGTGTTTTTTTGCTGAATTTCATGATGCTGTTTTTTACAGTGTTAACGGATTAACCATTTGCAAGGCAAAACTGGTTAATTGATTAACACCTTATTACAGCGCCATTTTCAACTGCTAAATAGTTTTTAATCGATTAACCATTTACAAGGCAAAAATGGTTAATCAATTAACACTGTTGTAGAAGCTGTTTTTTGTGTTTTTTCATGCTTGTTTAGTTTTCTTTCCACATTTAACTTCCATGGCTTGACATACTTGATATTTATGGATGTTTTTTGTGCTGTTTAGCCTCTGGTTGAATTATGTATTCGAAACTTGATGCACGATTTATTGATTACGTAATTGTTTGAATTCTTGAAGTTGTGTAATCATGTTGCTTTTTGTGTACTCTTGTTTATGTATTCACATGATTAACGATGCATGCTAATTGATTCTTGTTAATGCTTGACATTTCATTCTTAATTGCATTAAATTTGTTCTTTATTGAAAATATTTAATCTTGTATAATCATTACTTCACACTTTTGCTTTAATGGTTTTTCGACTCGTTTGAAAGGTTGTTGGCATATCCTTTCCCTTTGATTGATTAATCAAAACCTTGTTTCGATTAGTTAATCTTCCTCGCTTTCTCTTCTCTTTAAGCTTCCTTTAGAGTTTCTCTTTATTGGTCCCCTGCGGAGCCGGAGGTCTACACAACACATTGGAGTACTATATAAATTATGACGTTTCTTTGTCGGTTTCAATTCCTGCATTACACTTTGGATGCTAGAGAAGGAGTGAGGATGAAGTCTATCTTACCTTCATTCTGGCTATTTTTGGTCGGGGGCGTTTAACCCTGAAATTAGAATAGTCACCTCTTTATTCAAAATGTAGTGTCTCTTGAGTTTGATCCTTGAACATTCGTACCTTTTCAATCTTTCCTTTGATCAATCACCTTTTTCTTGGTTTAAGATCACCCGTTCTTAGGTTAATCACCTCCTATTGGTTAATTACTTATCCTTTTGGTTAATCACAGTCCGTCTGTTAATTA